TGTATTCTTTTACTTTTTCAGTTGAAATCTCATCATTCTGATACAGCTTTGCAAAAAAATCTTCCGCTATTTTCTTAATATGTATACTTTGAACTTGTAGTTGTTCTTCTCCACCCTTCAATTTAGAAATCAGTCTCTCCTCTCTCTCTTTCTTTACTTTATAGGCTAACCATCTCCCTGGTTTATTAGCATTTTCAAAGAAATTCTGTTTGGCCAATTTCATTTTCTTAGTAAGTTCATTTGTGTCCAAGAGATTCAGTTTATGCTTTAGAATATTCATTTGGACCTTAAGGTTTTTTTTGGATGGATCTTCCTGTAGCTCTTGTTCCCATTTCATTAATTCCTCTACTATTTTTGCTCTTTCTTGCTTTTTCTTTTTGTTTATTTTTGCTGAATATGTTATTATCAATCCCCTGACATAGGCTTTAGCTGTATCCCAGACATTTTGTAAAGAGGTTTCTTCAATTTTATTTATTTGTTTTTTTTAAATAAGTTTTATTTGAATTATAATCCTAAAAAACAACAAACTACAAATAACGTGCATCATCAAAATAAATCAAGCCCGCTGGGTCAGCCCCCACACCCTTCTTTTCTCATTTATAATAACTTTAAAAACATATTTAAATCTATGCAAAGTCCTGTTTCTCTAGCCAATAATAAAAAGAGTCCCAAGTTTGATAGAAGTCAATATCTTCCTTCTCCTTCAATGATAAATTCAATCTGTCTATTTCTGCACAGTCCAGGATTTTTATTTTTATTTTTTAGAATCAATTCATCGATGGGTATTCTTCACTTTTCCAGTATTGAGCGAATACAATCATCGCCACAGTGATTACTTTAAAATCAAATACATTTCTTGTTTACTAATATCCTCCAGTATAATGCCTAATAAAAAAAACTTCAGGTTTAAAAGCTAAGGATTTTTATAACATTTCCACAGGCCATTTATGTATTTTAATCCAATAGTTTTTCACATTATCACAAATCCATCACATATAGTAAAAGTACCCAATTTATATTTATACTTCCAACATTCATTTAACATATTTGGAAACATCCTAGCTAATCTATTTGGTGACAGATACCATCTATAAAACATTTTGTACAAGTTTTCTTTATACAAAGTTGCTAATATTACCTTGATATTTCTCTCCTTCAGCTTTTACCACTTTTCTAATTCATTATTATATCCAAAATTTTGTGCCCACATCATCATAGTTTCCTTAATCTCTTCGCCTTCCATTTTCCTTTCAAGTTTATGCAATTTTAAATTTATTTTCCCCCCACCTATAATGATTTTCTAATATAGTGACTTAAAAAAGAACTATGTGACTTAGTCTTCTCATACCACATATAAACGTGCCAATCCATTTGCAAATCATTCCCTTTAAAATACAAAATTCTCCTATTTCTTCTTTACACCTCTACCTCTTCTCTCTTCCTCTGTTTTCAGTATTTGTACTTGTTGTAAATCAGGGTCCACTTCCAATGTCTGTACTTCTTGTTGTAAGTCAGAACAATATGTTGTTAGTTCCATTGGTTCAACATCTATCCCTCCTTTTTTTGAGGCACCTGGTTCTTTCTCTTGAAGCATACTTCTAAGTTTTTCATAAAACTCTTGTGCCTTAAAAGTCAAGTCCAATTTATATCTTGTAAAGTTCCAGGTGAAAAATATTCCTTCTGTCATTCACCACCTAAGTATAATCTCTCTCAAATAGTTAGGTACCTGCTTCATCTCTAGTGTAACAAGCAAATCCCATAGTGACTTGTTTGTTTGCTTTATTAATTGTGTCTCTTTATCTGTTTTTTGCACATTCTGTTCAGTTTTAGGTCGAACGTCCACCAATTGGGTTGATACCTCCTTAATAGAATTATCCAGTTTGTCAAGATGTTCTCTTTGTTCAATTAAAATGCTTTCTTGTCGTGTTGACATCGTCTCTTGGGATACTTGCAAAGCTGTTAAGGATGTCTGTATCGCCGAAAACATCATTTGTAGCTCTTTTTGATATTTTTCAACATCTGCCGCTTTAGGTTGATGAGTAGGACTCTGAGCTGCTGATGTAGGAGCCAAAGAGGAGGAAGAATATATGTTTTCATGATGATAATAGTTTTTGTTTTTTGCCAAAAATTACAAGACAGCAGCAGAGAAATAGAGGAGAGAAAAAAGAAAAAACAGGGTGGCAGCAAAAGGGCTATTTTTGTCTTCAGAATGACATCACAAGTTTTTGGCATGAAAGCTGTTGTGAAGAAGGATCAAAATGGCCGATCAAAGGAAGTTTTCTCTTCTGTCACTCATTCCACAGTAATTATTTATTCTAATTCTTCGCCCTTGGGGAGGTTAGGAAAAAAAAAAGGTCATTCTCTCTAGCCTCAAACTTTCTAAAAGAGCCTCAGTTCCTCTCCCCCAGATCAGTCACCGCTTGAAACTCTGTGGGGGGAGGAAGAATTCCTCCCTCGGTCAAAGGGATTATCTTCTTTATGCCAATTAGTAACAGCTGCAGTATTTTCATGGGTAATATTGAGAAGAAGAAAAAATAGAAATGCTCAGCCAGCAGGTCCGATGAACTTCTAGCTCTTATTCTAATGCTATTATATCTGGTTGTCTCTGGCTTGTAGGGAGCTGCTCTCTCCCCTGTGTTGTTTGAGATAAGCCCAAATTTCTCCCAATAAATGCGGAGCTGCCGCCCCGCACTAATTAGAAGAATGCTCGGGCAAACTAATCCCTGCCCTGACAGGGCTTGGATGAGCCTCACGGCTCACTATCAAACAAATACCGGCGTGATAATGGGAGCCCCCGCTCTTTACAGCCATCCTACCACGACGCCAACCGGAAGTCCCAGTTTTATTTATTTGAAAGAATACTTGCATTTCCTTATTTATCTCTTCTATAATTTTTTTATCCTTTAAAAAAGCTTTATTTAAGCTCCATCTGGGCGTCATTGCTGTTCCTTTCAGTGATATAGCTAGTTGTGATCTGCCCAGACATTTGCCTCTATTTCAGCTTCTACCAAATCTGGTACTAAGTCTGGGGTTATCCAGACTATATCAATTCCACGACCTATGTCTATTTGAGTAAAAAGAATATTTAGCAGAGGTTGGATTTTTTTTGTCTCCAAGCATCTATCAATCTGAGTTCTTCAATCATATTAGAGCAAGACTTTGGGAGTATCCTCCTGCCCGTTTTTCCCTTTATCTCACTCTTATGGTCCATTTTTTTTATCCACAATTGCATTGAAATCTCCCATTACACACACAGTCTGGTAGCCCACTTGTAAGAGTAAAGCATGTAATTTTTGGTAAAACATTTCCTGATGGCCGTCTGGGGCATATATTGCCACTAAAAGCACCTTTTTAAGTTTCATTGTGATTTCAACCATCAGAATCCTACCGTCCTCATCAGCTCGTATATATTTAGGGTCTAGTTTTTCTTTAATGTATAATGCTAGACCTCTCTTCTTTTGAGAAGCAGAAGATATAAACAACTTTCCAAGCTTTGAACATTCCAAAAGTTTAGCATGTTGTTTCTTAATATGTATTTCTTGTAGGCAAATTATATCTAATTTTCGTTTTTGAAGTTGAGAGAGAATCCTTCTCCTCTTAGAGGGTCCATTTAGTCTGTTTACATTTAAAGAGAGCAATTCAATTTTTTTCCCTTTTAAAGGCCATGTTTAAAGAGTATATATTTATCTACTTATTCTTTACCTTTACACTTCTACCTTTTCTCTTTTCCTTTGATTCCAGTGTCTGTACTTCTTGTTGTGAGTCAATATTCACTATTTCTCCTTCCTCAGAGTGATACGTTGTTAGTTCCATTGGTTCAGCACCTTTCCCTCCTTCTTTTGAGGCACCCGGTTCTTCCTCTTCAAGCATACTTCTAAATTTTTCATAAAACTCTTGTGCCTTGAAAATCGAGTCCAGCTTGTATCTTGTAGAATTCCAGGTGAAAAATATTCCTTCTGGCGTTAGCCACCTAAACATAATCTCTTTCTTAGTCAGCTGTGGAGTAAGGAATAAGTATTTCTTTCATCCTTCTCTGATCCTCCATGGTATTTGTTTCAGAACAGTCACCTCATGGTGATCATCCGCCTTTAAAGGTTTATCACGTATGGCCCTCAAGACATTGTCTCTTATAGACCTTTGAGCAAATTTGACATGGACTTCCCTCGGAAATTTGTTTTTCCTGGCATAAGTTGAATTAACTCTGTAAACAAAGTCAATCCCTGCTCTCATCTTTCCATTTTCTAGCTCTATGACTCTGCCAGCATGTTATCCATTCAATCCTGTAGATCCTCATTCTTTCCTTCAGGTATGTTTTGAAATCTCAAATAGATGCCTTCTCCATCTCTAATATGGCAAGTGAATCCCATAGAGACTTGTTTGTTTGCTTTATTAATTGTGTTTCTTTATCTACTGTTTCAAGTTTTTCATGCGCTTGTTGTATTTTTTGTGTATTCTGTTCAGTTTTAAGTCAAACGTCCGCCAGTTGGGTTGATACCGCCTTAATAGAGTTATCCAGTTTCTCAAGATGTTCTCTTTGTTCATTTGCAAAGTTTTTTTGTTCAATTGACATGCTTTCCTGTCATGTTGACACTGCCTCTTGGGATTCTTGCATAGCTGATAAGCCACTTGAAATGTTGCACATTTTGGCCATGAGAGGAAATTGCAGTCAAGTCAAAGTGTCCAACATCACTGACTTGGGGTGGTTCCCTCATTAAGTGTCTTTCCCTGTCAGTTGTCCCAGGTTGAGAGCCTGGTGGGCTGCTAGCACTGGCCAGGTAACTAAGTTCGACTTCTTGGGTGTCTGGTAAGAGGCGGCATCTCCCACTGACCTTTCACAGTGCCAAACAGAAAATACACATCTTCATTTAATCAGAATATTTATATTGACTCAGTTGTAATAATAGCAGTAATATGGCTGACTTTGTGCTGGAGCTTATATAATAAAGTATTTTACCATGTAATCACCAGTGGCTTCTTGTTTTCTGTTTTTATTGCTACAGCATGCTTATATTTTATCTGTAAAGCACTGGAAAGAGACTGCCAGTACAGCAAAGGACTTGTTATTAAGGAGAAGATCTTTGAGGAGCAGCCATGCCTCAGGAAGGATTCATTAAGGATGTTCCTTAAAGGGTGAATGTTTTTTTCAGTCATTACATCCATCTCGTGATTTAGAATCTCTTCTGGACCATCCTTCCCCAGACTGTTACCCCTTCAGGTCTGTTGGCCTGCAATTCCCATGCTGGCTGAGAATGATATAGCATAGCATATCTGGGAAGCACCAGATTGGGGAACATTGCTCTAGATCAGGGTTCTCAAACTTTTTAAACACACGGGCATATTTGGAAATGTGAGAACCTGCTGTTCAGACCACTACAGAATGGCATCCTGTGGAGGACCTGGATAATTAAAAAGCAAGTGAATCACTCAAGGAACTGCAGTATACACAATCATCTGAATGCTAAAGCCAATCCACATATTTCACCTTGCAGAAGTACAAAAAAATACCAATGTAAGGTTACGATCTTAAGCATGCTTATACATAAGTTATCTATAACAAAACTCAGTGAGAATTGCTCCTGATGAGGATTGTACTCATCCCACACATGCATCTCTTTGTCCAACCTTATTTATTACATTTTTATACTGCCCCATAGCCCACCCTGCAGGGCTCTCTGGGCAATGAACAAGTAGAGAACACGTTTAAAACACATTTAATAGTAAATACCATTAAATGGTAAATACCATATAAGAGCACTGGGCCCTTACATGAGCTTGCACCTCGCAAGGATGGGGAAAAAGTCCCTTGGAGATGCTCTAGCGTGCTTTGTCCAGAAAACTTTAAACTGAGCCGGGGGAGGGCAGGTTCAGGCCCCCCAGAAATGTGTCCTGATTGAAAAAGTGAGGGGAGAGAACCAAGTTTTTGGGACCAGAGTGTTAGAGGTACTGCAGGGGCTGGCAGGGCTCCTACAAAGAGGGGGCCAGTATCAGAGAAGATGGGAAGGAGGAGGAGGCTGGGGAACCCAAAGAAAGGGGTTTGTGGGAAGGAGCTGAGATGCATGTACACCAATGCTAGGATAAGCAGGAAGAGCTTGAGGTTCTTGTGGGAATTGGAGGGCATGACCTGGTGGGCATCACGGAAACTTGGTGGGATGAAAGGCAAGACTGGAATGTAAACATAGAGGGGTATCACCTGTTTAGAAAGGACAAGAAGGGAAAGGAGTGGGGGCATAGCTTTATATGTCAGGGATGGGATAGGATGCAGTGAGATAGAATGCAGCAGAGATGGGGATTCGGTCGAGGCAGTCTGGGTGAAACTAAGTGGTTTTGACAGGGAAAGGGACCTGACAGTGGGGATATGTTATCGCCCTCCAGGTCAACTTGAGACCCTGGATAACGTCCTGACAGACCAGATTCTAAGGATATCTCGGGGGAGGGATACAGTAATTATGGGAGATTTCAGTCTCCTGGATATTAGTTGGGAGACTCACTCAGCGGTGACAGCCAGGTCACGTCGTTTCCTAGAAGCTATAGAGGGAGGGTTTTTCACACAGAAGAACTCTGCATTAAAAATCCCCCCCCCCCCCTTGTTCAAGGATAGGCTGGACATGTGCATGGTAGGCATGTCATGAGTGGAGTTGGCTGGAGCTGGGGGTCAGACTAGACTGCCGGGGACCCCTTCTGACTTGTTCTGTTTTTACGTTTCTATAGTGTCTAGGAAGCAATGTGACGTAGCTGTTACTGCCAAATGAGCTCCCTACTAATATCTGGGAGATTGCCATCTACTGTGTCCCTCCTTCAAGATATCTTTCAAATCTGGTCTGTCAAGGCATTGTTCAGGGTTGATTTGGTGAATTGTCTGTTCGCCACCTAGGGAGCCTCGTAAAGTCCTCATCTGCAGTGACAGGCATGCTGAAAACTGCTTCAGCATCAAAAAAACTGACAAGCACTGGCAACACAAAGAAATATAAGGAGAAAAAGAGGCACCATAAGATGGCAGAAAACTGAGACACCATTGTCCTACTGCTGCAGAACATGCTAGTTTGCCTTTACTGCTAGCGGCCCCAGTTACATCTGCAATGCTGACCCTGCAGGTCAGCTCATGCCCCTCTGGGCATGTTGGCTGTTCCAACACTTGCCTGACCAGAACCCATGGGAACAGGACCTGATCCAGTCACACCAACCTCCTTCTCTGAAGGGGAGATGCAGGACTCACTATCCTGCCCCTGTGAGGAGAGACAGAGAACTGGGCATGTTTAGTCCTGACAAGAGAAGACTGAGGGGGGCCATGATATCTTTCCATAAGTACCTCAAAGGCTGTCACAAAGAGGAAGGTCATGATCTCTTCTTGCTAGTGTCAGAATGTAGGACGTGGAATAATCAAGTTGCAGCAACCCAGATTCAGGCAAAGTTTCCTCACGGTCAGAGCAATACAACAGTGGAACCAGCTGCCTAGAAAGGTGGTGGGTGCTCCCACACTAGAGACATTCAAAAAGAACCTGGACAGCCATCTGAGTGGGATGGTGTGACATAGTGTCCTGCAACAGCAGGGGGTTGGATGTGATGGTCTTCATGGCCCCTTCCAACTCTACTATTCTATGATTTTATAATCTCTAGAGGCTCGGATCACTGCTCCCATTTGTTCGGTGAATGCACCACACTGAGATGTGGAACCACAGATGGTGCCTCCAATGGTGCCTCCAATGCACACAGGCAACAGTCCATCTCATCTGACCCATTGCCAGTCTCAACCCGCTGCCTGTTGACCTCTTCAAACCAACTGCACCCAGCTATGACAAGGTTGCATATTCAGGTCCACCACTGACATATGACAAGCGCTAGTATCCATGCTATCTGTGGGAGCATGTTCCAGAGCCACATGGTTATCCATGGCCACTGATTGGTGTCCAACCTCAGGAACACTGGACTCCAGCACAGTCCAGCCACTAGCTGGTTCTGGAACCACCTTCATTTGGACACCAACACTACTGCATGCTTACCACTGAGCCAGTGCCATCCCAGAGAGCCCCCTCGCCATCACCAAACTCAACTTCCTCCGATCCAGTAGACTATGCCTCTGATTCGAACACACACCCAGCTTCTGAGGAACCAGTCTCTACTTCTGTGGAGAACATCATCTCCTCCCAGTGCTCCCCATGCAAGGATTTAGTTCAGTTCTCAGAGCATATCCTTTGTACAGCAACATCTCTTGGCCTCTGGACCCAGCAGCTGACCAAACTAGCGCTGGACCATGTGTACAATGTTTTCTGAATGGAGGACTCCATTCCAGTAGCTATACCTTCCTGCCAACATTCTCTCAGGCCCTGAGGAATCCCTGGCAGCTACTGATACAACCCCATCTAACTTCTAACATCTAACTTCATGAAGACTCAAGGGCATGTGCTGGGTACAGGAGGCAGATATACCCTTTCTCTTTCACCATCCTCACCCAAACTCTATAATCCATTCAAGTCTATTCAAGGATGCCCTCAGAGGGAACACTCTGTTCTTACCAGTCCAGAAGGCTGCCAATTGGACATGATGGGGAGACCAATTTACCATGGACCTGGGCCTCTGCATCTTAAATTACAAAGCCACAATTGAGAGCCTCCAAGTCTTTCTTTAGTAGAAGATGGAAGCTCTCACAGACTTTCTTCCTGAGCAACAATGGGAACTTGCATTGAGAACTTGCATATACCTGAGGCCATGCAGCAGTCCAAACAGCAAATAAACACAGCATACTGTCACGCTTACCGTGACTCAAGGGCTCTTGTCAGTGCAGTGGTAATTCAAAGGCGCACATGATAACATGCAGCCAATCTCCCACAAGGAACGTGTTCTCAGATCGAGACTATGATGTTTGATGGGAAAGGGTGCTTTCACTCCAGAACAGATGAACAACTGGATACCATCCAGAAAGCTAGAATGATGGCCAGGCAGATGGGATTTAGCCCCTTCCAACCTCCAAGAACGCATAAGTGGCCATGGGGCTGACCCACTCAATACCAGTCCTACCACACCAGGGCTTTGCTCACTTTTCCTGGGAGCCAACAACACCAGCTGTCCATGGCCTGACAACACTGCCAAGATACTAGTGCAACAACCTGCTAAAAGAAGGCTAGACACTGAGAGAAAGCAATGATGATGGATAGCACAAACCAATCCCCCACTGTCTCCACCAACTCTATTTGGCTACTGCCTAAAAAACTATTTTCCCAATTGGGAAACCATCATATTAGATTGGTGGGTACTACCTGTAATACAATACAGATACCAGATTGAATTTGAGACCTTGCCACTCCTCAGAATGGCCCACTCAACTCCTTCTCCTCCAACCCTAACAGAGGAAGTTAATACTTTACTAGCAAAGGAAGTGATCTGTTTAGTCGGCCGATCTGATGTATAGCATGATTTCTGTTTGAGATACTTTACCATTCCGAAGAAGGATGGTGGTCTTCATCCAATATTTGAACTTCAGGGAGTTAACTAATTTATTCCAAATAAAAAAATCTGAATGGACTCCCTACAATATATCTTGCCATTGTTATGGCAAGGAGACTGGTTTGCATCGATAAAAGTAAAGGATGCAATTTCAAATTGCAAACAATTCAAACCCTATGAGTTTCGAGTCCTACCAGTTGGACTGTCAATAACACCAAGAGTCTTTATGAAATTTATGGCTGTTTTCTGTGCCCATCTATGGCTACAATCCCTCACGTACATCAGGGCCCAACTGGACACTACCCTAACTCATTGCCTATATACCATCAGACTGTGTGAGGAAACTTACCCAGTCAGCCCACTGCCTCCAGTCCAAATTGACATCCACCATCCAAAGAGTTCAATTAGTGGGTCACATGGCATCTATAGTAACAGTGGTCCAATATGCAAGGCTACACATGACACCACTCCAATTGTTGTTTACTCAGGCATACCATCCCATTCACCTCAGAAAGTTCTGGAAATTCCCCATTATTTGAATACAACCCTTTCCTGCTGGACATGAGAGCTCAATTTGACTCAGGGCCTGCCTTTCATGCCACCAGAGCCAGTGTTTACTGTGACTACAGACACATCCCTCAAGGGCTGGGGTACCCAATGCAGACATTACCAAACGCAAGACCTATGGACTGGACAGGACGGGAGAAGGCGTATCAACCATCTTCTGGTCCACAAGGCATTAATTTAATTCCAAGAGATCTTGAACTGCAAACATAAACAAGTTGCCTTAGACAGCACCACTGTAGTTTTCTACCTCAACAAACAGGGTGCCACAAGATCTGCGTCTGTGGCTCAGTTGACTCTCTGCATATGGGACTACTGGTTTATCTGCAGAAAATAACCTTAAATGCTGTTATTTATATTGCGATTTATATCCTGCCTTTTTCCTACAAAGGGCTCAAGGCAGCTTACATCCTTCTCCTCCTCCATCTTCTCCCCACAACAACAACCCTGTGAGGTAGGTTGGGCTGAGAGTCTGTGACTGGCCCAAAGTCACCCAGTTGGCTCCATGGCTGAGCGGGGACTAGAACCCAGATCCTCTGAGTCCCAGTTCCATGCTCTTAACCACTACACCACACTGGCTCTCCTGGCAGGGTTCAGAACTCCACAGCATATGCCCTCAGCCAAGCACCATTTAAGATGCATGAGTGGAAATTGAATCCAGAGATCAAGGATAACATCTTTGCTGTTTGGAGCATACCATCCATTGATCTATTTGCGAGGGCAAACAGTGCAGCATGCAAGGCTTTCTGTTCACAAGCCAGAATTGACCCCAACTCCCTCAGTGACACCTTTCTTATTCTATGGAAGGGAACTCTGTTCTATATGTTTCTACCCTTCCCTCTAATCATGAGACTTACTGCCAAAATCGGAAAGGACAGAACTCACTGAAGTCTTCTCCACCTTTTGAACCACACTTACATGCACCTGCTTAACACACCGGACTTAATATCACAGAACAGGAGCAAGGTTCTGCACCCCAGTGTGAATACACTCCATTGGTTAATCATTTGGTAGTGACATGGAGTGATCTAGATCCACAAGTTCAACTCATGTTGCAAGCAGCATTTTGACCAAATACTAGACACTCCTGGAACACGTTCAAGAATTATGCTGGGGAGCACACCTTTGAGCCAACTGAGGCCCCAATAAATAAAATTCTATATTTCCTTCATTCTTTACATGTCAGAAGCTTAAAACCCTCTTCCATCAAAGTTTAACTCTTTGCCATTTTATCTGTGAGGGGTCCTGTCGCCAGAATGTTGGTATTTTCTCCCCCTGCTCCCAATTTTGATGAAATGATTACAGTTTAAATCCTCCCTTCTGGGCAGTAGTACCCAGTTGGAGTCTATCGGTTGTATTGCAAGCCTTGACAATTTTGAACCACTTGGTACTGTGGACTTAAGACTGCTCTCTTGGAAAGTCTCATCTCTTGTGGCTATCACAACAGTCTGAAGGGCGAGCAAACTGTGCTCTCTACAAGCAGGCCCTCCGTTCCTGCCTTTCCACAAGGAAGAAGTCCTTCATCTAGACCCCACCTTTCTTCCAAATGTTCCTTCATGTTTCCTACTAAATCGAGACATAGTACTCCTGGCCTACTTCCTAGCACAAGCCACACTGCTGAATCAAGGCTGCATACACTTGATGTATGGCGAGCACTGGCCCTCTACAGATCTCATACTGAATTGATACAACAAACTAAAAAACTGTTTGTAACATATGGTGACCATTCCAAAGGTGATCCGATCAGTCCACAATGTTTGGCCCACTGGATTGTGGAAACAATCACACTGGCTTACCAGTTGGCACAACTAGACCTCAGAACCCACTCAGCCAGAGCTATGGCAACATCCGTGGCTCTCCATGTGGGTAGTCCCTTACAAGACCTTTGTAGAGCTGCTGTCTGGTCAATGCCTTCAACATTTTACCAACTTGATGATAAGGCAAGGCAAGGCTGCTCTTTTGGCTGTGCAGTGCTGTCCTCCATTCTTTAGTGATGACACCTCCCACCATGCTTGCTAGTCACCCATATGTGTGATGCACAGAGACCTCAAAGAAGAAAATAGGGTTGTTTACCTGTAACTTTCATTCTTCGAGTGACCATCTGGGCATTCACACAGCCACCCACTGGCTGCACGTCAGTGTCAGTGATTCCTCAGTTACTGCCTTCTAAACTAAAATGAGATCCAGGTTCCAAAGCCAAATGTCAGTATCCATATGAACTGAGGGAAATGGCAAGAGCCCACCCCTTTTATACTGGGGAGGGGCAGGGCTCCCATTGAAAGTTCTAGGCGTAACCAGGAGAATCATCCTGAACATAGGCACTGCTCAGGCACAGCACCCATATGTGTGAATGCACAGATGACCACTTGAAGAATGACAGTTACAGGTAAACAACCCTACTTTTTATTCTGGAACCCACTCTGCCTTTTATCGAAGTATTTTTGATGTCTTTATATTTCTTCCTTTTTGGGACACATCTACCAATACAAACTGTGATCTTACATTAGTAAATCACTTAGACTCATGTATCTGGTTTTGTGTTCTGAAATAATTATTTTTACGGAAGTGTTACTACTCTTCCTTCCATGGGACTTTCCTTCCATTGTTTCCTGCAAAAGCCTAACATGCAGGAGAGAAACTCTATGTATACTCTGTATAAAGAAGGAGCCTGGAGTAATTTTTATCCTATCCCATTGTTCAACATAGCCAACTGAAGCTTTTTGAACCTTCTGCACAAGTCCAACACAGGGACAAGTATTGGCATGAATCTTGGCTTTGGCTTGTAACTGAAAACTATTTGTTGATTGCTGCTCAGTGTCAGTCCACTAAATCTGTTCAGTATGTGTTACTTTTAAAGGTCATTCTGTTTAAAAAGCAAATACCAGAACTAACCACAATTTTTGTTAATCAACTCATGTTGATATGCAGCTTTCAGAATACCTGAGGTTTAGCTATCAGTCTAATTAAGTTACTTTACGCTAGTTTTTTTTAAATGTTCATCTTTGAAATAAAATAGTGTTTAAATAGTCTGTTTCATTTTATTTTCCAGTGACCTGTCAATCCATGAAGTCAAAGTGAGCCCATCTGAAGCAAGGGCAATAATTGAAGAAGCACTGGAGTTGCGTAGAAAAAGACAGGCTTTGATGGCACAGAAAAATGAACCAGATCTGAAGCTTGTTCAGCCAATTTCTATTTTCACGTGTGTCTCAACTATTTATGAACTAATTATGATTATACTCATTTTTATAGATTCCCAAACCAGTGATTTGTAAATGAACTCAGAAATACCAAATGGATACTTTTTTTTTTTTTTTGCTATCTTAGTATTTTCTGGGCAGTTCATGTGTGTTTCCTGTTATGTGTGTGCATTTTCTTATATCTGCCAGATAAAGTTATAAATGGTATCAATTCATTTGGATGGCGATGCTGGGAGCTCATTTTTATTGTGACCTATTTTTCAAGTGAAAAAGTTAGGATAAGAAGTGTAACTTGGTCACTATTTCTACCTCATTTATTTGGATTCCCTGGAACTACATACCCTCGAAGAGGCAGTCATTTGGTCGGAACAACTACAACAGTAAACATGTTTCTGTCATGGAGCTTTCATTTAAACTGATGATTCTGTGAGGTTTTAACTGTGCACAAATAAGCCTTTCTCAACTTGGGTGTATTCTGACTACAATTTTGATCATTCCAAGCCAGCATGGCTGGAGTTGTAGTCTCAAATTTTTGGCAGGGTCTGGCTGAGGAAGATAGTTCTAGATATTTATGGCTGTCATTCTAGATTGGTATCTTAAATTGTGATCTTCAGAAAGGTCAGGCTCTTGCCAGGAGCACTGTAGGTGACACTTGGTTGTTGCTTCTTTGCAAAGTTTTATCCAACTCTGCAACCCCATGGAAAACATTTCTCCAGGCTCTCCGGTCCCCACCCATCCCCCAGAGTCCACCAAACCCACACCCACGCACCAGTAACCTGATCCAGATATCTCAGCCTCTTCCCTGTTTGCCTTTAGTCATTCCCATCATCAGGGTATTCTCCAGTGAGCCTCCAGTGAGTAGGTGGCCAAAGGATTTGAGCTTCAGCTTCAGTATCTGTCCATCTAGAGAACAGTCAGCATGGATTTCCTTTAAGATTGACAGATTTGATCACTTTGCAGTTCAAGGGACTCTCAGGAGTCTTCTCCAACACCACAATTCAAAAGTGTAAATTCCTCAGCACTCAGTCTTCCTTATGGTCCAACTCTCACAGCCATACATTACAACTGGGAAAACCATAGCTTTGACTATACAAACTTTTGTCAGCAAGGTGGTGTCTTTGCTTTTTAGTATGCTGTCTAGATTTGCCATAGCTTTCCTCCCAAGGAGCAAGCGTCTGCGGTGATCTTGGAGCCCAAGAAAGTAAAATTTGTCATTGCCACCATTTCTTCCCCATCTATTTGCCAGGAAGTGATAGGACCGGATGCCATGATCTTGGTTTTCTTAATGTTGCATTTCAAGCCAACTTTTGCACTCTCACCTGCGTGAAGATGCTCTTTAGTTCCTCTTCACTTTCTGCCATTAGAGTGGTATTGTCTGCATATCTGAGGTTGTTGATATTTCTCCTGGCAATCTTAATTCTGACTTGTGATTCATCTAGCCTGACCTTCTGCATGATGTACTCTGCGTATAAGTTAAATAAGCAGGGCCACAATATACAGCCTTGCGGTACTCCTTTCCCAATATTGAACCAATCAGCTGTTCCATGTTCAGTTCTCACTGTTGCTTCTTGACCCACATATTGGTTTCTCAAGAGACAAATAAGATGGTCTGGGACTCCCATCTCTCAAAGAACTTGCCACAATTAGTTGTGATCCACACAATCAGAGGCTTTAGCATAGTCAATGAAGCAGAAGTAGACATTTTGCTGCAACTCCCTAGCTATCTCCACGATCGAGTGTATGTTGGCAATTTGATCTCTAGTTCCTCTTCTAAACCCTGCCTGTACTCCTGGTAGTTCTTGGTCCACATACTGCTGAAGCCTAGCTTGTAGAATTTTGAGCATAACTTTGCTAGCATGTGAAATGAGTGCAATGGTGTGGTAGTTTGAACATTCTTTGGCATTGCCCTTCTTTGGGACGGGAATGTAAACTGACCTTTTCCAATCCTGTGGCCACTGTTGAGTTTTCCAAATTTGCTGGCATATTGAGTGTAGCACTTTAACTGCATTGTCTTCTAGGATTTTGGTTAGCTCACCTGGGCTACTGTCGCCTCCACTAGCTTTGTTGTTGCTCAGACTTCCTAAGGCCCATTTGACTTCACACTCCAGAATGTCAGGCTCGAGGTCAGCAACCAAACCATCATGGTTATCAGGGACATTAAGCTCTTTCTTGTATAGTTCTACCATGTACTCTTGTCACCTCTTTGTAATCTCTTCTGTTTCTGTTAGATCCCTGCCATTTGGTCCTTTATCATGCCCATCTTAGCATTAAACATCCCTTCATATCTCCAGTTTTCTTGAGAGCTCTTGTCTTTCCCGTTCTATTGTTTTCTTCTGTGTCTTCACACTGTTCATTTAAGAAGGCCTTATCTCATTCTAGCTATTCTCTGGAATTCTGCATTGAATACTGAAAAAGACTCATAGAATAGTAAGAAGGGGGGCAAGAAGACCATTGGGTCCAAACCCGTGCTGTTGCAAGACACTATTGTACACCATCCCACCCAGATGATGTCCTCTTTTTTTTCTTTTTTGGAAAGTCTCTAGTGCAGGAGAACCCACGACCTCCCTTGGCAACTAGTTCCACTGCTGTATTGCTCTGACAGTGAGGAAGCTTTTCCTGATACCTAACCTAAATCTGGGTTGTCACAGCTTGAATTCATAGAATCATAGAAGAGTTGGAAGGGGCCATGAAGGCCATCGAGTTCAACCCCCTGCTGTTGCAGGACACTATGTTACACCATCCCACTCAGATGGCTGTCCAGGTTATTTTTGAATGTCTCCAGTGTGGGAGCGCCCACCACCTTTCTAGGCAGCTGGTTTCACTGTTGTATTGCTCTGACCGTGAGGAAACTTTGCCTGAATCTGGGTTGCTGCAACTTGAATTGATTATTCCGTGTCCTACATTCTGGCACTAGCAAGAAGAGATCTTGGGCTTCCTCTTTGTGACAGCCTTTGAGGTGCTTGTGGAAGGATATCATGGCCCCCCCCAGTCTTCTCTTCTCAAGGCTGAACATGCCCAGTTCCCTCAGTCTCTCCTAATAGGGCAGTGTTTCCAAACCTTGGATCATTTTTTTTGCCCTCCGCTGTACCCTTTATAATTTTCCTGCGTCCTGTTTAAAGCTTGGTGCCCAGAACTGGACACGGTACTCCAGGTGAGGTCTGATTAGTGTGGAGTATAGAAGAACTACTACTTCCTGTGATTTGAAAGTAATACTTATGTTAATGTATCTGAAAATAGCATTTACCCTTTTGGCAGCTGCATCACATTGTTGGCTCGTGTTTAGTCTATTGTCCACAATTACTCCAAGATCTTTTTCTTGTTCAGTTCTATTGAGCCACTTATTCTCCAACTTGTATCGATTCCTTTGGTTTCTTTTTCCTATGTGGAGGACTTGGCACTTGTCCTTATTGAATTTCTTTCTGTTGGTTTCAGCCCAGTGTTCAAGTTTATCAAGGTCCTGGACCTTCATTCTGTCCTCTAGGGTGTTTGCTATTCTGCCCAGTTTTTCATCATCTGCTAATCTGATTATCTTTCCTTGTACTTCCTCATCTAAATCATTAATAAAGCTGTTGAAGAGCACTGGACCCAGGACTGAACCCTGTGGCACCCCACTATTTACCTCAATCCAATTTGAGAGGGTGCTACTGTTGAGCACTCTTTGTGACTGATTTAGTAGCCAATTTTGGATCCACCTAACAGTTTTTCCATCTAGCCCAGTTTTTGGTAATTTGCTTATCAGAATGTTGTGTGGCACTATGTCAAAAGCTTTGCTAAAGTCTAGGTAGATTATGTCCACAGTGTTCCTTTTGTCCATTTGGGAAGTTACCAAGTCAAAAAATGTGATTAAATTACTGTGGCAGGATTTATTTTTGATAAATCTATGTTGGCTTCTATTAATCACTGCATTTTCTTCAAGAAGCTTGCAGATGGATTTTTTTTTAAATAATTAGCTCCTGAACTTTTCCAGGCATTCATGTCAGGCTAGCTAGTCTATAGTCCCCAGGTTAATCTTTTGCCCCCTTTTTGGAGATAGGGAGAATGTTAGCCCTTCTTCAGTCACCTGGCAGTTCTCCTGCTTTCCAAGATGTATCAAAGATTCTGAGAGTTCCTCTGCCAGCTCTTCCATGTCTCTGGGATGGATTGTATTGCGCCCTGGAGATTTGAATGTGTTTATTCTTTCTAGGTATTTCTTGGCCATTTGTCTGTCAAACTTGGGCTACCATGCCATCCACTTTAAGTAGCTGGATACCTTTCTCTTTCACATATCTTTTGTTTTAGATGTATTTGAAGAAGGCTTTCTTGTTATTAGCATTCCTTGCTATTCTCAGTTCATTTCCTGCTTCAGCCTCCCTGATGCCATTCCTGCACTTTCTTGTTACAGGTTTATATTCTTCCTTTGTGGCCTGGCCCTGCTTCCACTTCATGTACATGTTCTGTTCTGTTCTGTTCTGTTTTTTTCAGGCTGTCTCTTAACGTTTTGTGAAGCCATGTAGGCTTCCTCTGTTGTTTTCTCACTTTTTTCTTGATAGAATTGTTTGCAGTTGTGCTTGGAGAATCTTCATTTTCAAGATTTCCCACCCCTTGGACTCCGTTTCCCTTAAAAGTGAGTTGCCATGGCAATTTGCTTATTGTTCTGAGTTCATTAAAGTTGGCTTTCTTGAAGTCCAGAGAATGGTGGCAGTTAAGCCTTGTCTAGTTTAATTTCTGTGGCTGCAATTTTGTCTACTAGAACTTTCTTTTAGTATTAAATCGAGGACAGTTGTTTCTCTTGTTCATTCCTCTATCTTCTGCTGGAGGAAGTTGTTGGCAATACATGTCAGGAATCTTGTGGAGGGGGCATGCTTGGCAAAAATTGTTTCCCAGCATCTGTTGGTGAAACTGAAGCCCCCTATTCTTCTTGAAAATGCTGGCAAGTTGCTTTTGATAGATTGTATCCTTGTCCTCCTTTTGACTGGGTGGTCCGTAATAGACACCAATAACAATGTTTTTCTTGTTTTTTGCTCCTTTTAAATTAAACCAGATGCTATCAATGGGGCTACTAAGTTCCTTTTCTTGTATTTCTGTGCAGATTTATGTGTCTCTTATGTATTGTGTGACTCCACCTCCCTTTTTGTCCTTTCTGTTTCTCTGTTGGTTGTATCCATAATTGTGGAGTTCCAGTCATGTGAGTCATCCCACTAAGTTTCCAGTATTCCTATAAGATTGTAATTGCCCACATGTACTATGTTTATGTTGTTTGTTTCCCATACTCTGGGCACTGGTGTAGACATCAAAATTCATTCTCGCTGTGTCCTGGTTTTTTTCCTACTTTTTTGGGAGACTGGTGTTGGGCCCTGCTTGAGGTTTTTTCTTTGTTGAAATATATAATCTTTGCTAGATGATGGTATGCCATGCTTCACATCTCCTTCCCCTATAGGTTCTAGTTTAAAGCTCATCTTCATGTGAGTCATCTTACCAAGTTTCAGTTATGAAGAGTTCCAGAGTTTAAATTTATCTGTTCCCTATTTGACTGTTCCCAAGAACACTTATTCATGAGGAGGGGCAATCCTGACTTTAATCTTAAGTAATGCTGGCCAGGACTAACATGAGCCACTATGAACACAAACTGCTGGACTAGATAGCCTTTCAGTCTGATCCAGCAGGGCTGTTTTTATGTTTAAAGTTGGCAAACAATAGCCTGCTATTTTAGATGGAATCATAAGATCACAGATTCATAGAATACTAGAGTTGGAAGGAACCAACAAAGCCATTGAGTCCAGCCCCCTGCTCCATGCAGGACTCCAAGTTAAGAACTTCTCAGACTGTTCATATGCTCGACCTGATGAAGGTACATTTTTTCCTGTTATTTAAATAACATTTTATCTTTAGTCTGGCTTTTTGCATTGTACTCAGTGGCCTAACAGAAAACAAGGATGTAGGAGTTAAACTAGCTGAGAGGCTACAGCTAGCATACTGATCATGCAGCCACGACTTGTGTTTATCAGGCAGATGTGACACAGTGCAATAAACTGGATAGTATCTGCAGCCCTGCTGGCTTTGTGCATTCATAGCTATTTTTAATTGTTTGTTTAATTTAACTGAACAACTAAGTTTAGTAGTAGCAGAAGTCAAGGAAGAGCAGAACTTCCTGGCCTCCTGTCCTGTTGCTAAACTTATGCAGATGCTTTAAGGTGTACATGTGTTATTCTCAGTTGTATTTGATACTTTGTCACTGTAGCCATGATGCTTCATCACTGGGGTCTAGACTTGTTCTTGGTTAAGTGTTATTTCCTTAATGGTTGTAGTGATCAGGCTGGTATTGGCTGCTGTGGAAAATGTCTGCCCTGCTTTTTGCAGCCTCAAGTCATTTGCCACGTATAAGAATAAGAGTAAATAGCAGAAGAAGAGCTTAATGTTTAGGAGAGGAGTGCAGTGTGCACGGCCACACAGAAAATGATGAGCTTGTGTTGGTTGCCATGTATTCTCATGTAGGTGGAAGTGTCTTGGAGAAAGTTTGATGGCCATGTATCAGCATCTGGTTACTTGTGAGCTGCCTCGGCCCAGCCTGGGCAAGAGAATTGACCTGTTGGAGTACCAAGATTTGAATCAACACTTGGCTGTATTTGCAACTGCTGCTCCTGTCAATGTCATCCAGCCCCACCCTGGCAGCCTTAGCCCTGTGATGACTGCGACTGAACCACTCCTAACATACACACCAGTGACACCTACCTTTCCTGGTGCAAATGTGCTGGAATCAGTCAATCCTGTAGGTGAGTTTTTTTGCCGCAGGAGTGACACTGGGGATTCCTGACCTTTTTGGGCTCATAAGAACACATTTGGAGTTTTGAGATGGTGTTATGGGTGCAAGCACAAAAATGACTGCTGTGGTAGGTAGACATGTCATGAGCAGAGCCAGCTGGAGCCAGGGGTCAGACTAGATGGCCTGGGAGGCCCTTTCTGACTCACTCTGTTTCTATGATAGTTGTGTGGCTCTTTTCAATAGGTGACAGTAACCAGAGTCTTATCTTTTGTAAATGAGAATGTTCTCATTTAATCTGTGACTAATCTGATAGGGTTGAGTAACCTTCTAGCCTCTTAATACTGCATGTGACAATGGTCTGGGGCTACACCTTAGATACAGGCATGCACACAGGCAAACATAATCCATGCACAATCTTCTCCACCTCCCATTTTAGTTTTGGCTGTGGGATGGTACAGAAATTAAATCAATAAATAATACCAATGCATGCTTTTCCCCTTGTCTCATCACACATAGGTGGTGGTGGGGTTACACTTCTCTTCCCTGCACACTGACATCCATTTGATGTCTCCCATGCCAATCAGCTGTGGTGGGGGACACAGCTGAAATGGAGATGATTGTGTGTAGTGATAATCCTTTCCGTGCACCATTTTCTCAATGAAATCATACTTGTGACAGCTTTCCAAAAAGTGTTCTAGCAGGCTGTCATGAACATTTGGTCTGGAAAAGAATGCAAAGAGAGTTATTCTCATAAGCAAAGCAGTGGCAAAATTTAGAATAATGGCAGCAGTGTGGGCATCTGTGGCAAATCACATAGGAAACCTACATATGTAAAGACAGTTTGACTGGACATGCTTTGTCTTTTCTTAGGTGATCCCTCTGGGAGTGACAAATCAAAAAAAGTAGTGAAACGGAAGAGAATTGCTGAAGACAGTGGTGAGACAGCAAAGAGGCGATCTGCTCGAGTGCGGAATACCAAATGCAAAAAGGAAGAGAAAGTTGATTTTCAGGAACTGCTCGTGAAGTTCCTTCCTTCACGGTATGGCAACCTGTTGCTGAGTAATTTTGTGTGTTTGTTTGTTTGTTTGTTTATTTAAAACGTTTATATGCCATCCTTTATGACAACATCTCAGGACAGCTTACAACATTAAAATTGGAAAACAGTCAAAACAATCCATGAACAATAACAATAAATAGGAATAATAGATAGTTAATAAAAATACAAACAGATAAAATTAGTTGAAAGAAAGCGACTGTTACCTTTTAAAATTAACGGTTCTTAAAATAACGCTCGAATAAAAAGGTAATGAATGGTTGAGCTAACTTTGGAAAAGTACCAGAGATTTTAAAAGCTGCTAGGCCATAGCCATACACTTTTGATGCAAGTGCACAGCTCTTGCACTATGAGCAAGGGCTTCCTGTGTGAGAGAATTCTGCATGAGAACCTCTGACCCCTTGCAGCTGTGGATCTGATTTCCTGGCTTCTAGGCTAGTGGGTTTTTAGAATCATCCCATTCTATCAACAGAAATGGGCATTTCTGGGGACATATACAACTACTAATGAGTGCTCTCTGTACATCACATGTATGGGCTCTGCACTGACATGGGGCCTGTTATTGGAAAGAAATTCCTAGGTGAGCTTATTTTGGTGGGAGCCCCACTGCTCCCTCCCCCTAGTATATAAAGGTGGGGCATCCACAGTTATGCCAGTTCTTCATCATGATCTCTGTGTATCACACACACATGAGTTTAAATGACAGCGGAAGGCCTAGGTTGGAAGAAACTTCTACAGCTTGGTGTCACAGAGTGGGTGGGGCACCCTGTCCCCTCTGGAATCCTGCTATAAGGGGAAAGGGCCCTGCCCCATCCCTCAGTTCCTTTTCAACTGCGACCGCTTAGGTTGGAATCACTTCATTGCTCCTCCTTGCCTTTTCTCCTCTCATATATACAGTAGACACTTGACTATCCGGCTCGTGACTATCTGGCCTCCGTACTATCCGGCCTAGTTAAAAAATATCAATGAACAGTAAAATAAGTTTAAATAATTTTTGTAAGAATTAAGCCTACGTTTTACGTTAATGTTTTGTTTATTTTAAAAGTATGTATTCATACTGTACAGTGTACATGATTTTATGTTTCCTGCAATTAAGTTAAACATTATAAAATTTATCTTAAAATGTGTACAATATTTTTATCCTTGGACTTACTTTTTCTGTAATAAATTTTTAAAACGCACAGTACAGTACATAACAAACATTTATAAAGTACTGGCCTGTACTAAGAGGTCAGAAAATATGAATAAGAGTGGGTTTTGGTATAAAGGGTGTTTTTAATGGTATGGGTGGGGTAGGAAGTGAGCATTTCTAGAACTCTGGCCTATCCGGCTTGCCCTTCTGCCACATTAGGCCGGATAGTTGGGAGTCTACTGTGTTAAAGGATGAATCAAAAATTATCTGCACTCTGGTTGTATTAAAACTTCTGTTGGCTGCACTGTCTTATCAGCGCTTTCCATTCAAAGCTACCATCTCCCCAGTCACTGCTATGCAGGTGTGAACCTGTTACATCAGTACTGCGGTGTGAGCAAAAACGGATGGCCCACTTGTGATTTGGATGAAGGAAGAACAGCATGCAGTGATTCATTTTTTGTGGTCTGAGAGTGTACCTGGTGCTGTTATTTATCAAAGACTTTGTATGGAGAAAGTTTTTTGTCACGATGAAGTGTATGAATGGATGGAGAAGTTCAAGAAAAGTCGCACAAAGAAGAAACCGGATGCCTATCCATGTCCACGGCTGATGGCAACATTGAGTGTACACATAAAATGATTCTGTTGAGCAGATGAGTGACAGTGGATTATGTGGCAAATCATTTGCAAATCAGCCATGGCTCTGCCTGTGAATAAGGAAGGTGAAAGTTTCTTAAAGAGAATCATTACCGTTGATGAGACATGATTCATCACTATGACCCTGAGAGTAAACGACAGAGTATGGAATGGAAACATCCTCAAGCACCAACCAAGAAAAATTTCAGAAGTCAACCATCAGCTGGAAAATTGATGCTTACAGTTTTCTGGAATTCTCAAGGGCCAGTAGTTGAACATTTTCAGGAAAAGTGTTCAACAATCAACAGTGCTCGTTACAGTGAGATGCTTATTGAAGAGTGGAAGCCTAAACTTCAGATTAAATGCAGAGGGCTGCTATCTGAGAGCGTTGTGATCTTGCATGACAATGCAAGTCCTCACACTTCTGTCCACACTGTCGACACTCTGCAAAAACTTCATTTTGAGGTGTTAAAGCATCTTCCCTATAGTCCTGCTTTGGTTCCATTGGACTTTTCACTTGTTTGGCCCCCTGAAAGCAGTCCTACAAGGACAAAGATTCACTTCTGATGAAAAAGTGAAGACAGGTGCATTCGTGGTTCGCAGCTCAGCCTAAAACATTTTTTAAATGAGGGAATACAAAATCTTGTTGACAGACTGATGATGTGTATTGAAATTATGCCAGAAGATGATGTATTTGTCTTTTTTAAAAGTTAATTAAAATAGATTCTACAGCCAGAGTGTGGATAATTTTTGACTCACCCTCTCTTGCTCTCTTCTTGACTTTCTTTCTTCTCCCTTGAACTATTTTCCCTCACTATGATGGCCATTGAACCACATGGTTGCAGGCTGACTGCTGAAGAGGGCCAGGAAGATAGCCAACGTCTCAGAGGCCCCATTGGGCTGAGACTTGTGGGTGCACGGGAAACACTACCATGTGAGCCCTCTCATGAGCCCCCCCACCCACTTTCTCTGCTGGCGACTGGCTCTGTTGCCCACAGACACCGTCCTCTGGTTCTGGACTAAGGGGCCTCTGCTGTGCAAGCCCTCAGGATGTCTCTGACTAAGGCTCACTGGATCCTTGTGGATGCTTGTCCTCCACCACAGCCTGCTTCCAAACACTGGCCGGCTCCTGAGCTCTGCCTTCAATGCGACACAACCTCAAGCACCAGTGCAGCCTCTGTTTGTGCACAGACGCTGCTTGGCCACCCATTACCTCCAAGCACTGCCACTCCCGCAGCCTACCACTGCCACAGCCTGCCTCCTGGCACTACTGCTGATACTGCCTACCTCCAGATATGGCCACCCCAGCCTGCCTCCAGGCACCACTGCCACAGCCCACTGCCCGATGCCGCCGCAGTAGCCTAGCTCCATTGTGTTGCTGCCCCATGTGGCCTGCTGACCACTGCAATTCTTGCTCACCTCCAGGCGCTACTGCCTTTGTAGCTTGATGTCTGCCACTGCCTAGGCGTGTTACCCGCTGCTCCCACCCAACACCAGGCACTCCTGCCATCACCATAGCTGGACTCTGAGCACCACCGCGGCCTGTCCTCTAATGCCATGGCCTGCTCCCCAGCACCTCCACTGCCTGTGCACCACCAGTGAGGCTAGTGCATGTGCCCACTACTCATGCGGCCTGGGCACATGCCCACTACTGTTGCACTGGCCCCCATGGCAACATTACTGGCTCTGCCATGCCCTGTCTGCTGGCAGACTCCAGATGCTGTCGCCATCGCCTGGAACACCCAGACATACTTCCGGCCTGCCTTGGCACGAGCCTGAAACCAAGCCATGAGACTTCCTGCAGCAACGCAGACAGGAATGCTGGCCACACTTTCTCAGAGTGACGCTGGGCTGATCTCAACATGATGTCAGCCCAGTTTACCAATCCAGGGACCTTGCTGCTGACATCATCCCGGTCTACCAATTCAGTGACACTCCACTGATGATGTTGGCCCAGTCAAGCAATGTGGATACCTTGCCACATATGTTGACCTGTCTACTGCTCCAGAGACCGTGGCGCCAGCGCCACCTCAGTCTATTCCTGCGGAGACTCTGACGCCAACATCATCCCAGCCTACCTTCTGTCATAGCCTACACCCAAGCGCCCCTGTGGCCTGCTGCACGGCAGCCCTCCGCTCATTACCCAGACCTGCCCAAGGCCTCCAGGAAGGTGCCAGCAGCCCATTTGCAGGCACTAATGGCACTAACAGCTCTATCCAGGCACCCTCACCTGTTCCAACTTCACAGATTACCTACCAAACAGTTCTGCCCAAAGTTGCATCATGGTTCCATCTAAATCAGGACATTGTACTGACAGTGTTCTTTGCGATGCCATCCACCCTGATGGAAGAGGTGCTACATACTTTTTTTATAATCAGTTTTATTCAAAATAGCCCTAATACAAAGAAAAACTAAAAACAACATCAATAATCAGAAACATCGGACCTGCTGGGTCAGTCCCCACATTTTTTCTATTTATGATAACTTAAAAACATATCTGAATCTATACGAAGTCCTGTTTCTCTAGCCAATAATAAAAAGAGTCCCAAGTTTGATAGAAATCAATATCTTCTTTCTCCTTCAATGACAAAGTCAGTCTGTCCATTTCTGCACAGTCCAAGATCTTTTTTTGGATCAGTTCATCGGTGGGTGGTTCTTCACTTTTCCAGTGTTGGGCAAATGCAATCCTCACCGCAGTAATTACATGTAAAATCAAGTACATTTCTTGTTTACTAATATCAACAGGTATAATGCCTAATAAGAAAAGTTCAGGTTTAAAAGCTAAGGATTTTTGTAACATTTCCTCAAGCCATTTATGTATTTTAATCCAATACTTTTTCGCATTATCGCAAGTCCACCACATATGATAGAAAGTACCCAATTTATGTTTACATTTCCAACATCCATTTGACATATTTGGAAACATCTTTGCTTGCCTATTTGGCAACAAATACCATCTATAAAACATTTTATACAAGTTTTCATTATATGAAGTTGCTAATGTTACCTTAATATTTCTCTCCCACAGCTTTTGCCATTTTTCTGATTCAATATTATAGCCAAAGTTTTGTGCCCACGTTTTCATAGTTTCCTTAACCTGTTCATCTTCCATTCTCCTATCTAGTAAGAAATTATATAGTCTTTTAATAATTTTCTCATCTGATTTAAGCATCACCTGATCAAATACTGTTAATCTTTTTAAAAGCCCCAAATTCTATAG